AGGCTGCGGTGGCCGGGAGCGGTCACTGCACTCCAGTCTGGGTGACAGAGTGAGACTCCAACTCAAAAAAACCAAAAAACAACAAAAAAAGAATAAAAACCCAACCAATGGCTGAAATTCCACACTCTGCAGGCAAAGTTAGCCCAATAGGCTTTCACAGTCTCGGATGCGAAGGAAGCCTGGTGGGCTGCACCAATCTGGCTAGAATCAGGGCTGGTACTTGGTAGAGCACCCCACCAGGTGCTGGGAGCCTAGAGGAACGTGTGCTAATGGACTCAGACCAAGTGGGGTGGGGGCACTGCTCAGGTGGGAAAGCCCCTGCACAGCTGTGTGTAGAAGGCTTGGGGGTAGAGAGGAGGTGGCAAGGGAGGGACTGAGATGGGCAGCTGGTCCCCAGGGGCCCCGAGGCTGCCTGGCCATCCCTGCCTCCAGAAGCCTCTCTCAGTTCACCTTCATTTGCCAATGACAGGCTTCCATTTTGCAAATGAGGATCTAAATTTGTGGATGAAAAGCCACCCATGGTGCCGACCTGAAGGCCCAGGGCTGGGCTGGGCGTGGCCCCCCCGCAGGGCAACAAGTGATGACTTTGGAGGCTGGAGGATGCCCTGGGGCCAGCCTGCTGGCCTCTGAGGAGTGGCTGGTGTCTGCCACATAACCTTGCCAGCTGTCAGGAAGGTGAGTCCTCCGCCTCAGAGGCTGGAGGGAGCCCTGCGAGACGATGCTGAATCTTGGCAAAAGACAGCTCTCTGGTTTGGACATTTGAATGGAACAAGGAGAAAACGAGCGAGTGACTCGGACAGACCACTGCTCATGGAGCAGATGCTGGGTGCACTCCGAAGCACTCGGGCGGCACCTGTGCCGGCCACACGTCCCGGGGCCATCGGCATTCTCCACACGCGCTCGCGGTCCTCCCGCCTGTCAGCTGTCTCTTACCAGCACACACAAAGCATTGTTTACCCGGCTGTCAACCTTTCCGGATTCCAGGCCAGCAGCAGCCACAGGGAAAGCTGGCAGGAGCCTTCGGACGAGCCCTGTGGTGGGTCCCCCTTGCTGCTTTGGCCTGGCCGTGGCCGAACCCCTTCCTGGCCAGAGGGACACCCTTCCCGTGTTTGTCATCCGTGCGGCCGCCTTCACCCGCCGCAGGCTTCGCCGCCGAAGCCCACCCACGTCTGTCCCTGCTGCTGTTCTGTCAACTTTCTGATGGGGGGGCTGGCATGATGTCGTGGAAAGGGTCTTGGGAGGGGACAGAGGGGCACCGAGTGGCAGGGACCCCAGTCCAGGGTCAGAGAAGGTTTCCACAGAGTGCTGTGCCAGCCACCCGGGATGAGGGTCACCTCCACTGATGAAAGGATCGACATTGCTGCATGCCTGCAACTAATTAGTATGATCAACGCCGAGTGGGCCGGCAGAAGGGAGACAGGCAGCCCCGGCCCGGGCGCCGCGAGACCCTGCAGCCCTCGCCCCACCCTGGCAGGGTGTCCCACCCCAGCACCGAGCCTGGGCTAGCCACTGGCTAACTAACGGCTTCACAACTTTCCCGGCCCGGACTCCGGGAGCCGGGCAGCGGCCCTCCGAGTCGCCCGGCCCTGGCTGGCAGGGCTGCACCGAGGCGGTCCCCCAGGGGCAGGTACTCACCATGAGCACTGCAAAGTTACCGGAGTGTGAGCGCCAGTGAGAAGGCGTCCAGGCCCAGGCGGTCAAGTGGCGCCCTTCTCCCCGCCAGCCTCCATGGCCCTCCGGAAGGTCAACGTCCCAGGCAGCGGCCAAGAGGTGCAGCTCCCAGGCCACGTGCCTCAGGGTGACTGGGGTGGGGTGGGTGAGGGTCCTGGGGCGGCCCCCATCTGCGAAGACAGCGCACCGTCAGCCGCGTGGGGGCTCGCAGCCCCGAGCCAGGCGGGAGGCGGCGGCCCCTCTGCAAGTTCGCGCCGTCGCGGTCCCCCCAGGCCAGCCCGTGGGGCCGGCGGACTCAGGGCGCTCTCCAGG